ATTTGGCACAAATACATTTGCCTACGATCTCTGCTGGAAACACTAAATCTTCTAAAATAAAATACACAGCAGTTAAACTACGCGAACGGATTATTGCACCGTCTTGTTTTTACGAAAACTTTGTAGTTACTCGTTCACTATCTAAGTCTTTACGGTGCTGATATAAGTCTTCCTCTTCAAGTGGTCCTTGCAAACCCTTATGAAATATTTTTCTCATCCACCAGAAACTCCATCTCGAAAATATATTAGCGGTTGAGTAGGGATTCTTTGGGCGTTCAATTTTTCTTCTAGTCCGATTCATGTTAAATTTCTTTATTTACAGTTACGTTTGATTATGATAAACCAAAAATGTAGTAATAAATTCGAAGTTCAAGAAATGAAGATAACCGACACGAGCACCACTCAATATGGTAAATGCAACAAAAATTTACAACAGAAATTATTTTCAAATAATTCCTTATGCAAATCATGCAAATTTGTTATATTATTCTGTTTAATGAATTATTATTATTTAGACATATTGAATTAAGAGAATGTTTTTATTTAATTTGTATGTTTCGTATTTTTTTTCATAGTAATGAAAAATTTTTATTGTGATCAGAATAAAAAAAACACTAAACAAAAACTAATGTTATACAAAATAGATAATAAAAAAAATAATTACTAAAGCTTTTACGCACGTGTGCAAATGTAAACAAAAGAAACTTTTTATAGATGTTAATGATTGGGTTTAATAAAACTAAAAACTTTTTTTAAATGTAATATGCTCTTTAAACATTCTGCACATATATAAGTATTTTGAGAAATGTGACAACATTGCATTTATGATGAAATCCATCAAATTATGTTTGTGTATGTTTATGAGAGAACAAATAGTAGAATGAATAAAAATTAAGCAAGAAAATATATTTTCTACAGTATAAGATAAATACATACGTAGAAACACACATATATATGATACATATGCATACAGAGAAAAATCACGGAAAAGTAAATAAAGTTTCGGAAAGTAAATTTATAGAAGACAAAAAAAAACAAAAAAAAAAACATTTAAAAATATTAGCTACAAAAAAAATAAATTTAAAAGCGACGACAAAAAATTAAATTATATTTAATAATCAAAACTAAGTTTTGTTTTATATTACGCGTACCTTATCTAAAAGTTGCAGAAAGTAATTTGGCTCCAGCCAGCAGCTTCAGCAAAAATTCACTCAAGTTGAGACGAAGAAGACGTAATAGCGCTGACGATTTACGAAGAAGACAACAAAAGCGAGGAACAGTTAAAACCTCATAAAAAAACAATATGAAAAACCGACAATATATAATCGAACGTACGAACGAAAGACAAGACGTCAAACTTTCTTTAGCTATTTTACTTGAGTTTATTTCTTTTAAATATTTTTTGCATTTACTTATTTATTAAATTTTTTTTAAATTCTGTTTTTAATAAACTTAGGAAAGTTAAAAATTTACCGAAACGTCTTGTTAAACACTTTAACGACGACAACGACGACGACGACGACGACATGGAATCAACCAGGCAAAATTTGTAGCAGATGTTTACTTGTTTCTCCTTTACTTGCTTTTATTTTTTATATTTTTTGCTTTTTCTTAATACAACAATATTATTTTTCATATGTTTTTGGCTTTATGCCTTTAAACAAATTTCACAAATTGTATGGTCACTTTTTTGTCTCACTGGCACATATGCGCAAGAATATGTACATACATATGTACATACATGCAGCAGAAGCATGTATGAGAAAATAAAAAAAAAATTGCTGTTTAACTTGCATTCTCACATTCGAAAAATATATAAATGAAAATTTTAATATTAATTTTTATTTATTAATAAACAAATTAAACTTGTATATTTATACTCCAAATATTACTTTTAATGTTCGAATGTTATAGAAACAAACTTTAATTGTATGAATTTTGTTATTTTCTGTACGTTTCTAGCAGTTTTATACACTGAACATACCGAAAAAAGAGTTTGTCAGCTGCAAGTTTTATTAGCGGCAAATTGTTATATATAATAAAATCACAAAATTTTAATTTTATTTTGGAATATAAAAACAATAATTATTGTTAAATAAACTCAAATTTATTTATGTTTTAAGTATTTATTTTTAAATATTCACACACAATTTTCAATTTTCGCTGAAAATTTTTCCGTAACTACAAATCTCGACCGTATTGTTCAAGCGCTGTAAACGTAATAAAACTGAAACACTGAGAAGTCGTGTATATAAATCAGTTTGTGTGGATTGTATTAGCAAACTTGTATGCAATACAATCCACAATGCTCTTCTCACCAATTGTTTAGTATAGTAACTGTATGATTTATATGCGTTCCTTCTCTTTTGAATAACAAATAAAATGTTATGCAGAAGTTTTACAGTTTATAAAACTGCACAATGAATGTGGATTGTGGAAATGCACTTTAATTGATATATTTTTCGGCTTATTAGTTTTTTTAAATACTTAAATTTTATATAACATGTATAAATATAAATTATTTAAATTATTTAAATTATTTTTTTTAAATTTTTTTACAATTTTATGAATTAAATCATTTTTAATTGCAGTTTATTAATATACGTAAATAGTAAAACCCGCAAAGCAGGAAAATGAATTTTTACTTAATAAAATTCAATTAACTCAAAAATATATTATATATTAATTATATATCAGCAAAACTAATGTAATAATTTAATAAAATTAAAAATTATAGCAATTTACATAGAAAATAACTTTCATATATAGAAAATAATTATTTTAAAGACATTTTTGACACTGATTTAAATGAATTTCTAGAGTATTCCGATGAATTTCGTCGAAATAAAAATTAAATGAACTCATAAAAGAATTTTTTAGCCGGTAAATTTGTGTAATTATTTACTATTATTAATTTATTAAGAAAAAAAAATCTTTTTTTCTGCAAACTTAATCCTTAAATTAATTCGCAAATAATTTTATTATAAAAAAAGAATTCAATGAACCACTAAAAAGGTTTGATTCATGCATCAAATATATATGTATGTACTTTAGATAAAGTTTTTAAAGTCATTCTAAAATCAATTTTTTTTTTTTTTTGCTAAGGAAGCTATGTAAATATATAATAATATTTTATAGTATATCTAGATATCGTATAGGCTAATGTGCTTCTGATGTCGCAATTTTTGGCTGCACGTTCAAAAATTTTGTTTTACATGCGCAGTTCATTTACATGTACATGCGTACATTTTTAAATGCATTGGATTTCAATAATTTACTGCAGGCTTTTAGTTAACAAAGCATATAAGTTTTGATTTATTTTGTTTGAGGTAGCTCTGAAATTAACAAATAATAATTTAAGATTCAAAATAGTAATTCTTTGAGGAAATTGGCTACTTCTGCTAACAGAAAGGGAAGATAAAAAGAAAATTTGCAAACATCGCTTGCACAACAATTTTTGTTGAATGTTTTATATTTTTATTGTTTGCTTTATATGTTTATTGTTAATTTTATAATTGTATTGTTTGTTTATTATGTATTTTAATTGTATATTTAAAATTTTTATTGTAATTTTTATTTTTTTTGAATGTTTTATATGTTTATTGGTTGTTTTATATATTTATTGTGTATTTTATAATTCTATTGTTTGTTTATTGAGTGTTTTGTTTTTTAATTGTAATTTTAATATTTTTATTTTTTTGTTATGTTTCTTGCGTAGTAGTTGCTTTTATTATATATTTTTATTGTTGTATTTTATGATTTTATGATTTTATGCTTTTTTTAAGTATTTTATGTACGGATTTTATGGTTTATACGGATTTTATGGATTTATTACTTTCGTTATCGACAGTGTAAGTAACATCTAGATTATCGACGCTGTCGGTAATGATTGCTGAAACAGTAAAAGGAATTTTTATTTTATTCATAATTAACATATCGGTGCAGATTTTTTTTTAACAGTGTGAAGTATAAGAATTATAGCTGTAATGAAAATAGTGTTTGTGATCTGTTAGTTTAACATGTGTTGTTAGTAAATTGGAGCATTCGCAAGAAGTTTTTATAAATAATAAATTTAATCCAGAGAACTTTTTTTCAAGTTCACGCACCAAAATAATTTGTATCTTTTGGAAAGTTTTTTGTTGTGGAATTGGTACATAAATTATAACAGCCTACAACAACAAAATAACAATATTAATGAAACTATGTTTAAAAAATGTGCATACCTTTTTAGTACCGAATTCAATTTCAAGGGCTCGAGTTATGTGCAAATCTCTCAAATAAGGTTTTAAGTCTACAACAACAAAATAACAATATTAATGAAACTATGTTTAAAAAATGTGCATCCAATTTGGCACAAATACATTTGCCTA